TTGCTAAGAAAGGAGATGGAGAAGCTGGAGAAGTGTGCTTATCGAATTCTGGTAGGCTGCCTATAACGTGAAATGAACTTATCTTTCTGCTTGTTCCCGTCTGGCAAGGTTTTCGAAGCAATCATTTGTCCTCTAGTTTCAACTCCCACTGCCTGTTTAAAACCCTTTTTATTCACTTAAAAACAGGGTTCCAGCATGGTGACATAGTAGGCTAATCCCTAGTCTGTGACACTGGCATTGCATATGGGCATCAGCCCAAGTACCAGCTGCTCCACTTCTCATCCAGCTCCCTGCTTATGGCCTGGGGAAGCAGTGGGGGATGACCCTAGGTGCTGGGCGCTTGCATGCACATGGAAGCCCCCCTGCTCCCATGCAGGAGACGCAGGATCAGCTCCTGGCTTTGCAACAGCTCAGCTGTGGCCACTGTGGCCATGCGGGGTGTGAACCAGCAGATGGAAGATTGTGCTCTCCATCTCTTTCTGTAACTCAGTAAAAATAAATCTTAAAACAAAATACCCTCTTTTCCAGGAATTCTGGGTATATTTTTATAAGACGACAATTAAGACTCAGAAGCAGGGACAAATAAACATACCAGATCAGAGAGTGCGAATATCAGATGTGGCACTGTGTGTGGAGCGGAATGAGCAGACCAAAAAGTGTGTTCCCAGGATGCCCCATGCCACAGAGGGCCTGAGATGATAGGCAAGAATATGCACAAGCAGAAATGAAGAAAGAGTCAGGACCAAGGCACGTACAGAGATAAACCTATGAAATGCAGGCGCAAATCTTCACTTAGAGATACACGCTGTACTCCATATAGTCACTACAGAAAGCCAAACACAAAACGGACGAGTAACTAGGTAGGGCCAGTTCAGGGATCCATCTGCTCAACAAGCAGAACTAGGCGTAAAGACAATTGAAGGCCATTTACAAATCCATTGGCCTGTCTGTGGGAATCAACGGAGTCCCCAAATAGGTGGATCAGAATAAATGAGGCCTGTAAAAAGGGTGGCAGAGTGAGGATGGGCCCCAAGGCTGAGACAGTTTCTGCTACCCTAATGTAGTCACGTATCTGGATCAGTCTGTCATTTGGATGGGAGTGGCACGCTGCCATTGTCCTTTTAGGACTTCTGACAAGGAGAGGGGCTCTAAGGGATGCCCACCAAGTGGGATCACTGATAATACTGTGAGAGCAGTAAGTGGGCACTAAAAATGACTGCGATTTTAATTCCAGCGGAGTCCGGTATGGGCATCTAAGCACAAGGAAGCCCAAGAAGGTACTGTGAAGGAGTGAGTCCTGGGATAAAAAAATAAGAATACTGCAACTGGCTGACTTTCCTTTGGTCTGATGGGACCCGAACACTGTTTCCATGTAAATGCTGTTGTGGCACGTGATTGCAGGAGGCATTGTTCCCAGCCACAGCTCCTCAAATGGCATGATTTCAAAGTACCAACCTACAAGGGGTAGTTCTGGGCTCCCTTCAACTACTTCTGGCTAGAAGGCAGGTGGATCTGCACAGACAATTCAGGCATTGGGGAAACCTCGATTTTCCACGTTTCCTGACAAGGTACCTGCATCCTGCACTTCATATGATGCTCATTCCTGGTCCCCAACCACTCCTGAGGCAGGAATGAAACTACAGCCTCAGCTTGAAGTATCAAGACCTAAGACTTGAAGCCACAGTACACAGCTCCCCATTGCCAAGACACTGGATGACACGCAGGGCACTCCCCACACACTCGCCTACCTGGATGGACCCAGGACCCCCAAGCCATCCGTGAGTCACAGCCTTCCTCCTTAGCCTGCTTCATGACTACAGATCACGTGTCCCTCACACCTGCTACTCCTATTCTGCCCTGGCTTCTCCCACTTGTTGAGAACTCTTAGAGGCACAATTCTCATGAGCACTAATTTCAATTTTACTTAAAAATTTTTCACTTAAAATCAAAAGGACATCTTAAAGCCATTTCAGTATAAAACTTGCCTAGAATAAGGCAGTTTCATTTTTGGAAAGACTTGATGGCTAGACTTCAGACATTTTCCCCCATATTAAAATACATGGGTTGTCTTCATCACGTCTCCTCCTGAACATCTCATTGTTTTTGAGCTTTTGTATCTCCACAGTGTGCATGTTATTCAGCTATTCCTAACAGACGGACTCAAGAGCCACATGCTATACTGCATTAAGTGAACAGCAGGGTAAACAAACGAGTCAAGGATTAAAATATTTTACAACTAATAAATCATGAGAGATGTTCAATAACAGTATATCAGTAAAAATCTTAACATAAAATACCACTATTTTATCAGTCAATTGTTTGTGACAAATACATTTTTCGGTATGGTCTCGGGGCCCTACACTAAGTCTGAGGGCGACAGCAGTGTCCCAGCGGGCCAGGCCTACACCTTCCTTCCCCGGCCGGCTCCACTGGCCGGCTCTGCCATTTCTTCCCTTTTAAGGCCTTGCTTCCCAACTAGGCAAGGAAATAAAACTCACAAGCCAATGTCACTGCTCTTTAATCTTTATGCAAATTGTCGCAGCGTTTCAAACTACAGGTTCAAAGCTGTGCTTTCTAATGATCTGTGCTCTTTATTTTCCTTTCTGATCTGTGTACAGTTTGCAGGATGACCACAAACAACACGGAAAGAGCCTCAAACATGGCCCCTTCGTCATGTCCACGCATCTCTGAGCCCATTTCACATCTTTAATTTTTCAGCTATTTTACTCATTACTAAAAATAAAATACTCTCACCTACTGGACACTCTTATGCCATCTTTAAATCCTGCTACTTAATATCACCTATGGTCTTTCTCTAATTGTTCAGTGTTCTTAATATTTAATATCAGATCTAACAGGATGCTAGCATTTCACTCAGGATCGGCACTGCGGCACAGTGGGCTTCTTGTAGTCGACAGGATCATTACCGTCTTAGCAAAAAGAGTCAAGTTGAAAGCCACATGCATTGCAAGTCAGGTTCATTTGGTGCGTCAAACTGCATTACACACTCTGTAGTTTATATTCACAACTTCATTCTAGCACATTCTTCATGAGGTAACATTCTCTATTTCCTGCACTATCTTCTACCTCAGTTCAGAACTCTGCAGGCCTGAGGAAGCTGCCCTTCTGAGCCACACCTGGCAAAGCCACATCAGAATAAACAGGAACATTCTGGCAGCTGTATGTTATTGCCCATTGTGTATTCTTCTCAATTACAAGATCAAATCTCACTGCATGAAGGAAACTTCCAGCAATACCCAGCAGTAGTTACCACAGAACTAGTCAGAAGGCACCACACACCTCTTAGAGTCATCCAAACTGCATCAACTTCCAGAATGGAAATCTTTTCATCTTTAACATGTGTTTTTTTCAAAACTGCAAAGAATAGAGTTGCAAACAAATTTAAGACTGGCAAGAAGATTTCCACTAAGCCAACAAGACATCCTGTATCAAGCTGAAGCGGAGTCTGTGTCTCGAACGTTCTAAAATCTGAATGTGTACTGTAACTGCTGGCAAGCCCTGCTCACACAGCCTTCTGGGTCCTGGCCTGGCAGTCCCGGGTTAGGGAGACCTGGAGCAGGGCCTGGTAACGGGCATTCTAACCAGCTCCCAGGGGTTGCCCCCGGCTGCAGCTCTGCAGAGGCCGAGAAGCACTTACCCACCCTCCCTCGGCTGGGGACAAGGAATGGCCACAAGTGGCCGAGGAAGTCACACTCACCAGGGAATCAACGGGAACTGTATTTTAGTGGAAACATGTATTTTAAACCCCAAAAACCAAATGAGAAACATCCAGTTGATTTTATTGTGATGTGTGGTTTGATCTTAACACAGCATTGAGCTCTGGGATGCTAATGGTTATTAACACAATTTGTACCAGAAGGGTGAGACTGTCCTAACTAACTTACTGAAAAGTCACAACCATCCTCAAAGAGTCTGTACTGGATGCAGCGTGTGTTCTCAAACACTCAGGAGCAGGGCCTTCAGTCTGTCCCTCAGGCGACCTGCGCAGCCATGCTCTTACAGGCGCTGCGGACCCAGCTCAGCGCCAGACACACTCGAGAAAAATGGCTTTCTTGAATGAAGATCTTTTTTTGTTTCTGTAATTTTTTGAAAATTTTACTACTTTTTATTATTTTATGATACATTTCTATAGGCGCTGGGATTTCCTTTATCTCCTCCCCAATTCCGTCCCCCCTCACTGAGTTCCCCTACAGTATTACTATAGTATAGTTCTTCATACACAGTCATGTGTCCATCATTGCGGGCATGGACAATGGCAGAGAACCCAGCATCCTACTGTCAAGATAGAGTAAACAGTTTCAATGGGAGTCCATCTTTGGAAACCGTCACTGTCTTCTTCCTCAAGGACCACAAATCATTCTTCCTTAGCAGTCTTAAAACTTCCTTGGAAACTGTACACTCATTACTTCACAGGGTTGGTACAAGGAAGGAATTCAGAGAGCTGGCAACACCAGCCTTGGCCTCTCCGGAAACATTCAGCTGTTTCTGGCCACCAGCTCCATGTGCCAGGGCCCAGCCCGCACAGCAGCCATCACGCAACTGCTGAAGGGTGTTCACACTAGCTGGCCACCAGCTCCACGTGCCAGGGCCCAGCCCGCACAGCAGCCATCGTGCACCTGCTGAAGGGTGTTCACACTAAGCACTCTCAAGACCGCTCTTGGGAATGACTGCTCAGAACTCCTTTCGCAATGCAGGAGGTCTGTGGGGTCCCTCAAACCACAAGCTCCACGACAAGAAGAAGGGGCTCTGGTCCACAGAGAAAGCCCCCACTCCAGATGCCTGTGGTTCATGGGCAAGTCCACTCCGACTCCCATCTAGTGATCTGCAACAAAACAACCTCCCCCCAGCCCCGTGTCAGGCTAATACCCCTACATGTATTTCTCAAAACACCATCTAAGAGGCACTGTAAGCATTTGTTGGAGCACAACAACATTCTATAACACTCTTTGTCTCTGAAGAAAGAAATTCAGACAGTGGAATTAAGCTTGAGCACTTTAATCAACTCTAATAAATCAATAATCATATAATATAAAAATTTTGATTCATGCATCAGAATACATAAATTATGCAATTGTCACATTTACAAGTATGCTTACATACTTCTGAGTTTGTACCTGCAAAAAATGTTTACAAGTTACTAGAGCGTTTACTTAGCAAGTGTAATACTCTTTCAGTTATAAATAATGTTCGTACCTTTCAAGTTCCTCCTAAATATTTACATTCCTAAATCTGCAGCATTTTTGGTACCTTGAAACACAAACCATATGAAAGCTTCAGAAATGAATGCGTTCAAATGAATCAATTGTTGCAGACTTCAATTCTACCATAAAGTGGATTTTTTCATAAGAGAAAATAAATAAAATGTCAATTCTAGTTTAATGCTTGAAGAGCTTCTTCACTTCTTATTAAACACACCAGAAAACCCTTCATCTGCAGTTTAATTAGTTAAGGTGCTACCTATTGCATATTAAATACTCCCAGTGACTGCATCTGGATTACTGAAGGTACACACTGGTGAGAAGGGGGCTTTCCCCGCTTCCCGTTGGCTCGCGCGAGCCAGCAGCATCCGTCTTACTCCCAAGAGGTCAAGTGAATGAGCATGCCTTACACACGCACACAAGCAACAGCCACCACATCTCCAGGACAGCGGAGCACATCCACAAAGTTTCAGCCTGGCTTGGGAATCCAAGGGAGGCTGCTTTCCTAACAACTACAGAGCAGGGGAGACAGGCTGAGCAGCCGCGCTTCTTACTACTTAATTTTTTTTTTAATTTTTAGACTCTCCTCGTTAAAGGATAAGCACCCTTGCAGAGGTGGTAGGCAGGGGGCAGGGAGTGGGGAGCTGGCGCTGGAAGGACATCAAGGAAGCGAATCTATCACTAATGAGCCTAGTTTTACTTGGGTTTCCTTTCGTGAAACCCTTTTAAATACAAGGCAACATTTTCACAGCTGGAAAATTACAACTAAATCTTGATGTACTGCCAAAAGCAATAGATGTAGTTGTGTGTCATGTACAGATAATAGTACGTTTATGTGAGGATGGCAAAACTGGGCTCAGTGCAGAACGCAGCAGCAGAAGGCAACACTCGCCGGCATCCCTCGTGAACGGCAGCACGCTGTTCCGTGACAATTCGGAACGAGGGCCCTTGGGCCCAGGACGTGGAATTTGAAGCCCAAGAGGGAGGATAGTGTCTCTAATATTTTCAAAGATGAATTTCAGAACGTGGGGGGGGTGGGGGGAACTGGTTGTTAAGTAACACTGTTTTAGAATAAGTTTCGTAATTCAACAGAAGTGTGCCAGCTTAAGATAGGCTTGTGAGAAACAGCCTTGTGAGTAAAACTCTCCTATGGTGGGAATGTTTTGAAGCATGCTTTTTTTTTTTTTGGCCATAAGAGCAAAAGAAAATCTGTTCCTAAAAGCTGATTGTACTGTGTATTACTTAATGAGTATATATTTTTTTCTATTTCCAATATTTCTTACAGGAAAGACTGATATGTGGGAACGCCTTAAGTTTTTTTTTTTTCAGCTAAACACATATTAAGTTTACTGCAGGTTATGAAAGAAATTCATAAACATTAGGACAAGATTTTTAGGCAGTGATGAATGTAGATTTGATTGTAAATATAATACTTCTCTCAAATTTAATGATAAAAATATTGATTCCATATAACCAAATCACCCATGGACAGATAAGCCTAGCCCTTAACAGTTTTTAAACAGGTAAGCAATTTCTTCTTACGTATCAATTCTGAAAAAGTAATACTTGAACAGTATGTTTTAATGGGCTCTATTCATGTAAAATAAATCCCCAGTACCAGACTGATATCTTGGTTGACACTCATATAAAAAGCAAACTTGGCCAAAACGTATTCAAATATCTGCAGATATCTGACATAATATTCAAAAAACACAGATTTGGGAATTATAAAAAAGTGTAAGAAGAGCTTTAGTAATACTCTCAGAAAAAAAAACAAACGCCAATAATTTGTAACATTTGAAATAAATACTAACTTAAAAAGGGCACTCTATTTTAAAAGAACATTGAACAAGACCTTAAATGGAAAAATAAAGCTCCGTATCAGATTTAGAACCTTACTGAAGAACTTTAGTTACACGTGCAGGGAAATGCGAGAAAGGCTATTTTTCCTTTTCCATTTCTTCGTTTTAGAAAAGTATCACACTATTTTGTATTCAGAAAAATTTTTCATAATCTCAAAATACAAATCCTCACAGGGAAATCGGAGAAACTCAGAAATATAAATAATAAGGGATTTTAGTTTACATACATAAGCTTAGTGAACTAGTATGGTTTCTAAATACTAAATAAAACTATGATATCTGCCTTTTATTTAACTTCCAATAAAATCTTAACGGAGATAAACATCAAAAAGATGCAGTTCCCTAAAGAAGTCTCTACAGAGAAGATGTTTTCATTCTAAATTCAGAGACACGCACACACTCATTGTTTCATCTTAAGTACCTTAGATTCTTAAAGCTGAAAAATAAAAACAGCAATATTCTTATACCACTGTTATTTCCACTTACATTTCAGAATGATTCTGTACAAATATATACAATTAATCATAGAAGAAGTCAGTATATTTAGGGAATGGATGTAAAGACATATACTCTTACAATGTCTGAATTCCTTCAGGAGTGGATGTGTCGCAGAGTGTCAGCCTAGCACAGATCTGCCCCCAAAACTCACTTCTCCTTTAGCAGATACTGTTTTGGTTCAAGACCCAAACCATCTGCTCTATTCTTCATGTAATCTGAGACTGAGCCTCTCTCTTCATGCCAAGAATTGGCTTTGCATTATCAGGCACCAGACCATCATCCACTTTTTTCTCCCCAAGATTATTTTCAGACATAATTTTGTATTGTTTTCTTTGCTAGTGATTTTAAAGGGCATGCAAAATCTGAACAGAACAAATTGCATTAGCTTATCTTCCACTTACACCTTACACAAAACTCAAACTGTGAAGGTAATTCAAAGAAATCGTGGTGAAATTAGTGACTTTTTAAAAAAATCTGTCACTCTTGTTAAAAGGCATTTAGTTCATTTGCAGAGTGAAAACTGGATGCTGGCTCAGTATCCAGTAGTTTGTCTTGATACCCAGGCTCCCAGAGGCACAGGCGTGTGCCACCCGAGGCGACCTCTTGCTGGCGAACGGCAACAGGAATGGCACGCCCTGGCTTCTGTCGATGGAGCTCATGTCGTTTCCAACCGCAGAGGCAACCAGTTGTTTTTAAATATTCTAAAAACACATGTATACATGAGGTATATGTAAATATTTTATATACAGAGACATGAACACAGATCCATGCACATCTCTGCATATAAAACATGAACCGATTTTTCAGTAGTGTTATGATGAGCAGTATTCCTGAAGCAAAACATCTATGAACTGGCTTGAGGCGCCACCACGGTATCAACTCTGCTTTCTGGGAGATCTGTTCCTGAGGAATAACTCATGCATTCCTGAAGTTATTTCTAGGCCTGTGGCCCGGGAGTGGGCTGGCCCAGCACCTACGTGAATCCTAAGGAACTGCTCGGTCAGTGACAATCGGTGCCCTTCCACGAGGACTTCAGACAACTGAGCTCCCTCCACGGGTCAGCAGGTGAGTGTCCACGAGGGCCAGTGTTCATGAGTCTGATGTACAGTTGCTTTTGAATCACAATGTCTTTTTATCCTCCTTCCTCTCTCTCTGTCCAATTATAAACACAGCTCACTTGGCTTTATTAACTGTTAGCGAACTTGCCAGCCTTCCGGGACGGTTCATATGGCACTCTGAGAATACTGGGCGTTTCTTCCATCACCCTCACCAGGAGGTTGTCGATGTAGTCCTCTAGTTCCCGGATGTGTGTGTCCTTCCTCCTCAGCAGTTCCTTGTGCTTCACCAGCTCCTGCAGGACCTCTTCATAGGTCAGGCTGCGATAGCCTGCAGTGGCGTCAAAAGGGTTGCTGTCCTGGAACAGGAGACAGAACGTCAGCTGAGTGACTCAACGCCAGGGATGGAACTCTGATGATGACCTACAACTCCAACTTCTTGATATTTCAAACCTTGAGCAAATTTTTCTTCAGAACTGGTAGCCATGTCCACATGTTAGCGAGCCAGTGTAAGGCAAGAATGGGGGCACAGAGACCCCAAAGCCTTGATTACAACTCTCAGCTCTGAAACTGTTTACATGGTTGACAATCTCTGACTACTACAAACTAACCATATTAATTCCAGGTAGCGGAAAAATGAAATGTTCTAGAATAAGCATAATAAAAACACACTAAAGCCAGAAATTTCAAAAATTAACTAGAAGGAACTATGGAAATCCCTGAATTCTATCCAAATGGACATTAGTCTCCACTGCCCCATGGGTTAGGTAATGCCGTGGCCTTTCCTGAAGAATACTGTAAGATACAGCCATGGTCAATCTGCTTCTCAACTCTGCAAAACTAGACGGATGTACTGAGTCAGGCCAGCGAGCATCCTTACACAGAGCTTAGTGGAGTAACTTCAATTTTTGTACAGACAGGCAGAGGCTTTCCACCCGAGTAAACTGCTCTACTTCCTCCCCTGAGTAACAGCACTACTTAATCGAGCTTATTTCCCTTTCTGTCTTGATTATAAGGAAATGCAAGAGCTAAACTATGATCATGTTAAATGCTATGTCTGGTATATTTGTGTTTTCTCTCATGCCATTTATTTATGTAGTTAACCTTATCTATTAAGAAAAATCCTTCTGCAAAAAGGTATAAACCAAAAAAATCATTTGCATTGCAAACTATCTTAATACCCAAAATAAAATAGCAAATATCTGAAGCCAAAAAAAAACCTTCATGAATTAATAAAGGTACAATATCATTCTTTACTTGTGTAGAATAAAAATGCCTAAATATAAAGTAACCCTTTAAAAACAGTTCTATCATTAAACTCAACAATCCAATATGATTTTTACTGGTATGTTTCAAAATATTTCCATTTGACTTTAAGGAAGCTGCTTTCCTTGCTCTGGAGGCCAGGTGAAGGCCAGGGAATGGGGAACAGACTGTTCTCCCTACGACAGAAAGGAAAGGTGCCTTCCTCCACTCCTCACTGTGCTTTGCAACTCAGAGTTTCCACTCGTGCAACACAGCTCTCTCCCGCCCCTTAACCTGGGGCTCTGCGACTCTGCTGGCAGCAGGGGAACCAGAGGACTTCAACTTGATGCTTGGTCCCCAGAGAACACTCTTCTTAAAGATAAATGAAAAACATCTCTATTCATCATCTCTGAGGCTCTGTGGAATAGACACAGCCTGCACTAGGCCTCCAGCCTCTCCCAGCTGTGGGGGTCTGTCTTGTTCCAAGAAGGAAATGAGGCCCCAGGCCCAGTGGCCCACGGCCGGCAGTCGGTGGAGCATGGCTAGAAGAAGCCAGAGCAGAGGCCAAGAGAGGGACTACAAGGCTGGGTTCCCACTAGACCTCCAAGGACACTGACGCTGTTATTAGAGACTTAGATTTATCATATGGGAAGTCACAAGTCACTGGGAGTTTGTAAACAGAAGGAGGACATGATTAAAGCTATGTTCTAAGAAAATTAACATGGCAGAGTGGGCCAGCTCTTCCAGGGGGCTGAGATCAGTTAGCGGCTACTGCAACGATAGAGTTAACAAGAATGAACAAAGAGCATGTTAAAGGGAAGTGAGTTTAGAGTCTAGAAGAGATACTTAAAACAACTCATTTTCTTTTGGCATTAGAAACTGGAAACAGATGTAACTTTGTAAGTTATATTATTCTCCTCCCTAAAAACATTTCAAATATTACTCTAAACCACTAACGGGTGATTATAAGACAAGTGTTAGGTTGTTTTTTTTAACTTTCTCCCCTTCAGATCAAGATCAATTAATCTTTTTAAAGAGTAACTACACACACAGTGAGAGAGAGAGAGAGAGAAACCAAACTATTAGCTTATTTACCTGTTCAAAGCACCTGGGAAAGACATCACACACAGATATCTAAACTCAAAGCCTTCCTATACGATAAGTGAGATCTTCTCCAAAGTTTTTGAAATTCTCTGGTCAAAAAGTGAAGTTTCTCAGTTGCATTTTTAAAAGTAATAAAATCCAAGGAATGTGACTGTATTCTTCAAACAAAACATTTAGAGGAAATAGGAATGCTTATGAGCAACTGACTGATCAACTGACTGATCTGTTTCCCAACCCAACCCAACACAACAATAGCATCTGTTCAAGTCTCTACATTCTTAATGCAATTATAAATTTACAGACTGAATTCTCAGTTAAGAGGAAATACTCTCTAAAAGTCATCTGTGCTGTTAGATTTATCACTGTACCAGTACTATCAGCAAAACAATTTTAAATGTTTTTATCTCTAAAGACACTGAACATGTTTTTTTAATTCTACCTAATTTCAATTAATGCTGTGATGTAACACAAGCAAGTGAAATTCTCAAAAGCAATCGATTATTATCTCAAAATATTGCTCGTCACTTTCCAGCCATAATCCCGAATAAGCAAGTATATAATTTGGCTTGCTTTTTTTAAACCTCTCACAATGATCTAATATTAACGAATTACACAAATTGCCTGGAAATATTTTTTGGTCTTTTCAATAAATTTTTCATTCTCCTTTTACATGAACATTTTACCCCAAATATCAGCCTCAACTTTTTGAGCAAAAAATACCTTAGAAACATATGCACTATAAACTACATTCTGGAAAACATAAAATAATTAAAAACAGTTGCATGCTGAGTTCCAGATTTTACACCATACTTGAAACCCACGTAAACCTTCTAAATTTAGGCCCAAGATTCTTAAATTGAGTGATATTCTAAATAATATGAAACAATCTCTGTTAATATAACTTTAAACAAAACAATAAAGATTAAATATTAACTCACACATATAAACCAAAAGAAATTTAAAATATTTTCTGATTACAAAAATTACTTCTGCTGAAAGAGGAAAACCTTCAGGAAAATATTTACTTTTTCCAAAAGATACTTGTACTATTATTCTTGGAAAACAACTTCTAAGGTCAGAGACGTCTCTAAACTCAGAGAAAGCAACGCTGGCCTACAACGGAGCTGCCACCTCCCCAACGCACGTTCCCAGAGTTCTCCATACAGTGAACACATTTCTAAGATGACCTCTTGTTTTGAAATTTAATATAAATTTTCTGTTCTCCTCCTCCTTTACAACCAATCCTTCCTCATTCCTACCCTACCTGTTTCACAGGTCCACACAGGGATACAAGAAAATGGAGACTGGGTGAAAGAATTATTACATGAAGTTTTACTCAGAATCTTAAATGATACGGTTGTGCATACGACTGTGAGAACTACTAGTGATTTATTTTTACTTTTCACACAGGCCAGCATTTAAACTGGGATATGTACATTTTTTACAATATTTAAATTTAAACAAAAGCAAATTATCAGGACTCAAAATAACTGAAGATTTAAAGAAAGGTTGTCCTGGTAACCAAATATTGGTGGGGCAGTGTAACTGACATGCAAGGCAGCTAGAGGAACGAGGGGGAGAGGAGATGAAGGCTTGGCATTCTCGGATCATCTCATTATTGTTCTAATGAGGAACTTTGCTCTGGGAATATCATCTCGGCTACTTTCACATCTTTTGTCCTCCTCCCTTCATCTCCCTTTCAGTTCTTAATTAGGCCTTAAAGAGCTCACACTGCCCTTTCAACTGGCTACTGCCCCTGTTTAAACACTGTGCTTTCACAGACAGGTGTTGGCACCAGCATGTAAGACATACAAACTTAATTACAAAAAACTACGTCCAGAAGGGGGAAAAAATAACGTGGTGGATGGCGATTATTGGAGAACTTAATATAAATTACTTCAAACATCTTCTAATCTTCAACAGAAAAATTGTTCAAATACTTTTCCTCAACAACAATCAGAATGAGGATGAGCTTTCTCTCCTTAATTGTATCACGCAGTAAATTAACAACACCTAGTAATCCCTTAACTGTCATTTGGAATAGTTAGTATTCTAGAGAAAAATAATCACACATCAAGGGTTCTTTTTATCACCTTTAAATCCTTTAACTAAAACAATTTTCGCATTTTATTTCTTTAAAGAATTCTCGGGATGCTTTTACAGCAATAAATTGCAAGATTTGGGAGAGTACATTCACAAGCACACAGGAATTGTAATTAAGGTTATTTAATAAACAATAGCTACACGTTCAATTGATTTTTTGATGTTGCATTTTGTTTGAGATTAAGCAAGTCTGATAGAATTCGTTTTACTATCTGATCAAAGGCTGACTCCATCTATTCTGACATTTCTTGCCAGACTGCCATATTATAAAGACTTGAGTATTTATGAAACATCAAAACTGACAAATCATTTACATAAAACAGCAAAAACCCCAAGTCCCCTGCTTCTATGTTTTCTACAATTTTAAAGACAGACTACTGCATTTAGAATGGCTTAGAAAAAACCCTGACCCCACCTGAGCTGCTTCTAGGCATGTCACATCCTAAAAAATTGTGATATGTGATCGTTTAAAAAAACTCTTACTATACATCTGGATCACACACACTCAGGACAGATGGCTGACCCCACAGCCGCCGCAGCCTCTTGCAATCAAGCTCTACTTCTGCTGCTCGGTGAGAATTTAATTTTCGACCATAAACATCGGCCCGTATCTTTGTAAGGTAACTATTCCCTAGGTTTAGCGTATTTAGAAATGCCCACAGATGCAATGGAACTCAGAATAGGCAAACACTGATCGAATAAAGCTAGTGACAGAGGAATCCTCACGGAACAGGCGAGCTGCCTCAGTTGGTTCTGCCAACCCTCTTAATACATGTGGTTTTCTTCTAACTCGTAAGTGGGTGTCTTAAAGAATTTCTTATTTCAAATACTTTCCTGGTTAAGCAGGTCTCTTGCTAGAACATTTTTCCTATTGCTGAAAGCCAACAAGCACCTTCATTCATTTTCAATCCTCAGCCCAGCAGCAACAACAAAAAATGTGTTTCCACAATCCCTCATTCTGTAGCTGCACTGCGGAACTGTATGTACACCTTTCAAAACAGTTTACAGGCAAAACACGTATGTTCTAAATAGGCTTCAGTTACAGCTACGTGTGCGTCAGCATCCACAGATCATTCTATTGTACATCAAAGGCAGAACCTGAAGCACACGATCACACCGGAAGCCGGGACTCAGGTAAGGGAGGACGGGGAAGGGAGCCTGGGACGCCAGGGAGACCCGCGCCGTCTCCGCTCTCCGCTCTTGCAGCGCAGCCCGCAGCAACTCACCGGGATTTTCCTGAGCTCTTCATTGCTTGTGGGATGCATATGAAAGCTAATAAAACACAAACACAAATGTTAAAAGTGTATTGCAGTTCTTGTAGAAGGAAACACAGAAACAATATTCTTAATGGACACTGTGGCAAGTTTCCTAAAATCCTCAACTGCTCGGCATAAAATTTAATCCAAGACACAGAAGGAAAACAGTATTCAATAGTCTTAAGGCATCTAACATTTTAAACTGTGGCCAAGAAAAGCAAAACCCTTCAGTTATATTAGAGCTGAAGAACTCTACCTCTAAATATGTCATTTCTGTAATCTTTAAAGATAAAAATTCTACCCAGCCTCACATTTTACAAAACTACTTCTGATAACAGATTTCTCATTTTACACATGCTCACCTAAAACCTTCCGACACAGTGATGGGAAAACTGAGTAAATGCAGACTGAGAATATTTGTAGAAGAAATGGGTTAAATCAATCTTTAAAATGCTACAAGTATTAGGAAAAAAAAAATTTTTTTCAAATACTGACCTATCAATGGGAATGAATTCAGACTTGTAGGAACCATTTGTGTCACTAATGTGACTTCTAAGTAGCTCGTCTCCAGACTTCAATGCCGAAACGGACCAAAACAAAACAGATTTCTCCCATGCAGAGAGTAAAACACATCACAGCTGAATGCTGTAACCACTCTCTCCTTTGAAACATGTCCATTAGGACTGGGACTGTGAGTCCAAAGCAGCTAAACTTCAAAGCCATCTGATGAGTAAATATTTCATCGGTGCTGCCCGAGTTTAATTTTTACCCAGCACTTAAGAGTATTAGCCATGGAGCCCTGCACAACACTACTGTCCTAGCAGCCTTTCTTTCCCACACACAAAGACTTCATTGCCAAGTAGATGGTTTTTTTTTCTTTTTCATTATCTGTATATTATCAGCATTTAAAAACAGCAAGAATCCTTTAAAGTGTTCCATTTTAAAACTTTTCATTGTGTGACAAAATATCTGGACACTGGCTAGAACTCCTCCTGGAAAATACTTACAGTGCCAGGAATCCCACGTACGTGCATCTAACCACCTCCGACCGCACTCCCCACGCAGCCAAGGTTTCGTGTGCTGTGACTAAGGTTTGCTACGCTGGCATCCAGAACTGCTTACTGACCTTTTCCAGGTAGAGATCCTGTGGATACATTTAGTACCGCACAGAGCTGGGTGGCACAGCCGAGGGAAGCATCCTTTAAATATCGACAATGAGTCACTGACTGGTTATGTGGCCGAGGCATTTTCCTTCACTAGACCTCACTATCTTCCTGGTATTCTGCATGGTTCTGAACCGGTGTCACAGTGCCAGCAGAAAGCCCACGGCCTGATAAAGGCACCTTAAAAGAAAATGATGACAAAAACAGATTCCAGCCTTTAGCATGGAGTCCACCTTGCCTCAGCAGCTGCTAAGAAACATGGCTTCCATCCTCTGTGAGATAGTCAACATCGGGTCTAGGGGACTCTCCTGCCCCACTATCTCACAGCAAGTTCTCCGATAGGCAAAACAAACAAACAAACAAACCAAAAAAAACCCTTTTGCTCCCACTGGACTCATTTTCTCAAAGACGAGATGGTTTGGGTCTGGTGGTATGCCTAGACGCTTGTGAGATGAGGTTAAAGGACCTTGACACAAGCACTGTGAATGCATACTCCTCGGCTCTGTGAGTGCAGGAAGACCATGGACAAGGCACCTGACTCCAAAGGTGTCTGTCAAACGAGGGTGCCAGTGGTGTCTGCCACGTAAGACTGTGGCTAGAACATGCTTGAAAACAATTTTACTTCGCAGACATTCACATGGTATTTAATCTGTCAGACACTGTTCTAAGGACTTCGCCTTAGTTCATTTTGGCAAAGTAATTCAAACAATCTGCATGGCCCCTGAGGCGGTCCTAAGGTCCCATCTTCCATATCTTCATTTTAAAAAATAAGCACATGAGTTACACACAGGCTGGGTAATTTGCAAGTGGTCACTAGTTGGTGACAGTGACAGCGCCTGGCTCCAGAACGCCTGCATTGGGACACACAGCCCCATCTCCTTCCACGCTCTGAGATTCCGATCCAGACCACTGGTGCCACCGTGATGCCCTGAGCTGCAGCCAGGTGAGAACATACAGCAGAGCTCAGCACGCCCGCAAGCTCAAGTTGTAGAACACAGGGGGCAATCTTCCATCAGAGCAGTGAGCCAAAGGTCTCACACAAGGAGACAGCAGGACTTTTGCAACTACATGCCTGACAGGTGCGGCAGGCAGAGGAAACCGAGTTCTGCAGAGAGCTGCCATGCCAGGGCTGTTGGATTGAACAGCCTAGAACATCAGGCAAGGAGGGGTTGGAGCAGGGAGTCCTGGAAGGTTCTGCCAAGGTCCAAGGATGCAAATCAAAGAACAACGGGCAACATATCCACCAATGCTCACCTTTTCTCAAGAACCATATTCCAATGTTTCTTATTTGGCAACACATCCCATCCATTCCATTCCATCCTTCAGGGTTGGACAATGTTGGGTCTGTGTAAATTTCAGTATATCTCAGCAAGAAATTGGACTATGATATAGAGATACTGGTACACTCATTGTTACTCATGGAGTTTTTAAGGAGCAGGTATTTAGGAAAGAGATTTTTATAAACACACACACAATGTGAAGCCAGAATGCACCTCTATGACCTGAGGACCTCTGAGATGGGTTCAGAATGACAACACTAACAGCCACAGCTCTAAAGGCAGGGTGGCCAGCACAGGCCGCCCACGGCACAGTGAGCAGGCGTGCGGGGCTCTGTCTGAAATCTCGGGCAGAACCCCTTCCTCGTGGTCTGCTTACACTCACTGACGTGTCAAAACACGGGACAAACTCGGTCATTATAGCTGCCTCTTCTGATCTATCCTGTAGGCAGAAGAAAGAGCCAGTTGAACTGGGTTGAATTATCTCAGCACAAAATAAAATGTCTCTATTTATTGAAGTGTGGCATCAATTTATGGTATCTTTCTGGTTAGGCTGCCATCCTGGTGTCAGACACTGACTAACCCAGTCTGACTGTTCAACTGAGCTGCTGACAGCTTAAGGAGAATCATGATTTTGATCAGGTGTAAAACACGCTCAGACACGCTCACACTGAAGTCAGTCTACATAAACTGAAACTCCAGAATTTAAAAATTTTAGTTTCAGAAACCAAAATTAAAGAGTTTAGAGGAAGCAGGGAATTTCAAACTTTCAAGCTAACATTTGAAATTACTATTTCGAAAAGCTTCTAAACTAAGTTTATTTGTAACAGCCTTCACTTATTAGGCAAAAGCTCAAATACCTTTACTTCATGATGTTTCCAAATTTCAAAGAATTTTCCTAGTAATTCTAAAATTTAAAATAGTTCCTAAACATATCTAGAAATTATTAGTATCTCTTCCTTAATGTCACTCATTAATTTAACTCAAAGTTGGAACAGATAAGGAGGAAAGAAACAGGAAATAAATAGATGACAATCTAAAAATGCCCACTGATTTGTGCTAAGGACTGGTCTTCCATATGCTTGAACAGGACAGAAAAACACAGCAATCCTTATGCAAAGATGAGACCAACTACTGCAGTCAACACCAGGCCATTTGGCAGTGACCTTCCTTTTTCTCCTTTTCAAACACACATGCATTCTTTTGGAGCAAGAAACCCTACGAAGAGGAAGACTCTCCAGAGTGAAAAACCCATGAAGTGTGTATGAAGATGGAAAGAGCCTCTTAACAAGAAGGATGTGGTACAGCCCGTGCCGCAAGGCAATGACGCTGTGGAAAACACAAGGATCTGAAATCTTTCAACAAAACACAGAACTCAACGTCTCTCCAAACCTGATTACTACTGACTCTAGAAAGCAAAGTCCATTCTGGCTGACAACTTGACCTATGTTGTATTAAACAGGTGAACTCAGTAAGTGTGTCACCTGGCGGGGAAGGGAGCAGAGAGGAGGGATGGTAGGAATTAAGTTCCCAGACACTGTTCTAGGCCCTACTGTACTAGGAAAGGGCATAGCTGCCCACATGGGAGCTGGCTTCCAAGAGCATCCTATGTGCTTCCAGTGTAACTGAGAACAGGATCCAGAGACCCCGTGCTTCATCTGCTGCCAGAGGCAGCTGGCAGGAGCTGTACGCTAAGAAGGACAACACGCTTCAAGAGGCTGTGAAGACAGCACCCATTTGCGGTTGGTCTGCAGAGCCGCTGGCATTTTCTGGACTTGACCATGGTACCAGGGACCTCAGAGACTCATACGCTCTCTCACTTGATTTGAATCCCAGGAACAAGCCATGTGCAGGTGACAAAATGAGCACAGAAACACTGGGCACATGACCTGAAGCAGTTCACTCAGGAAATGGCAGTCAGGAGGCAGAGAGAGGAGCCAAACTCCCCCCACAGCAACCACACCACAGAGCGCCCCGGGGAGCTGGTGGCGGTGGGATGCATCAAGGCCCAGGCAAGTTCCTGCCGCTTCTTCCACCAAAACCAACTCAGGAAAGACTCAAATGCTGGCAGTCTGGGGGACAGAACTATGGTGGAACAGCAACAGGATTGGACTGACCGCACTCCCTCTTCGCTGCTTGCCCCTCAGTGCCTTGAGGCTGCAGAAGACACAGCCTGGGCGCCCTTGCGCCTTGGTGCCAGGAGGCCGCCGCTTCTGGCCTGGAGCACAGAAAAGGTCCCTCCGCAGGCGCTCTGCTCAGTCCCTTCAGCTGTGCCTGGCTGCCCCCGACACGGCCCAGCAGCGCCTTCCCTGACGCCCTCACCCCACACACATGCCTCTTCACTCACTCAGCTTTCTGCATTTAGCTCTTCAGGACTGGTCACCTGCTTCCTGCTGAACTCTTAACTGACACAAGAAGACACGGAGTGGGACTAACTACTCACTAATGTAAACAGCAAGTGAAGGACAACATTTGTTCCATTTCAGTATTAGAAAAAGAGACTCAAAGTAAAACAAACTACTGCAATTATTCACACCACTACCCACACTACCCTTTCCACTGCTGCCTTCTGCTCT